CATGTGACCGGAGGCTGAGTCCCCTGAGGGAGTGAGCTGCAGTCATTTTGAGAAGCAGGATCGCAAGGCAGGAAAAGCAGCTAGAGAGTTCACATGCCCTCCCTGCCGTGGGACTTGTGCTTGGGGGTCGGCAGCTTGAAGCCGAGTGGCTGCAGCAGAGGGAGGGAGTGGAAGGGGCAAAGTGAGCGCCGCGTGGGGAGGACTGGGCCACTTGGGAGGAGCCAGCCTCGTGGGAGGACCAGGCCAGGTGTGGCCTCATGGCCACAAGTGGGTTTCGGTGTTTTGTTTTCTATTTTTACACTTTGCAAAGATTATCTCTGTTTATGTTTTTACTTCCAAATTCATATTTCTTATAAATAACACAGAGCTAGGTTTTGATCATTTTAGCCAGCACTACAATATTCCTCCGCTTCCTGGATCATTTGATCGGTTTTATGTTGGTCATATAGTCAAACCTGCGAAAGCTGGAAACTGCAAAGTGGAACCCTAACAAAGAAGGAAAATGGAAATATTTTCCACTATTAGAGCGCTAAGAAAGTGGTAAGACTGCATCTGTCAAAGGTGGGAAACAAGGCCATCGTGGAGTTGGAGTTAAGGCTTTCACAACTCTCACTGTAGCCACTGACGTCTGGGGATCTGTTTCGGCATCTAATTTTATGCTCTTTGTTCCTCTCTATTCTATGCATCTTTCTCTTGTCTTTTAAATTGCTAACTTTTCTCATTCCACTGTTTTCACTATTTGAATGGTATACATTCTTATACTGGCCCAGGGGATGGCCTCAGGCCTAAGGCAGTCGCCTGCCAAGCACAAGACTGGAGGTTCAAACCCATCAGCCTCTCCCGCCAGGTAGACTGGGCCATCTCTTAGGAACTCTGGTAGCGCAGTGCCTAAGGCACTTGACTGCTAACCAGAAGGCTGGCGGTTCAACCCACCAGCCACTCTTAGGAGGGAAGATGGGGCAATCTACTTCTGTAGTGATACTGCCTCAGAAACCCAAGGAGGGGTCGCTATGAGTTGGGGCTGACACGATGGCACATAACAATAACAACAACATACATTCTTATTTCTATTACTTTAGTGATTACCCTAAAATTATAACACTATCACTCACCAGGATTCATTCCATCGGCTTAGGTTTCATTGTAGGTATGAGAATCCGTTGGCAGACTCATCATTGTTTCAAGATAATGTTACTGTGAGATATACTTTAAAGCTTATAAGAACACAACCCACCCACTGCCACTGAGTTAATTTCAACTCATAGCGCCCCTACAGGACAGAGTAGAACTGTCCCATAGGGTTTCCAAGGCTGTCAATCTTTCCGGAAGCAGACTGCCTCATCTTTCTCCTGTGGAGCAGCTGGTGTTCGAACTGCCAACATTTTGGTTAGCAGCCCAATGCTTTAACCACTGTGCCACCAAAACTCCTTCTAAGAGCACAATCTAAAGTAAACTCAGGAAAAGGGGGAGGTCGCTTTGAGCAGGAATCACAGTGACTATGCCTCCCAGCTTAGGGGGCAATGGCAGGGAGGAGGGGGAAGGGCTGTGTTCAGTTCTCTCTGCTTTCTCTCCGTAGCCCACTCTCCCAGCCCTCGGTGCGGAGGTGAGCCCAGGTGGTGTGGCGCCTACCCTGAGAGAGTCTGGTTTCCTGACAGATGGCTGTGAGTGCCATGCGGTCCCCTCAGCTTTCAAGGGCACTTGCGTCCCCTGAGGACAGCCCCTTGGGAGGACCAGGCACTCCAGGCAGCAAGGACAATCTGTTTTTCATCTGGACACTTGTGCGAATCCATCCTCCCTGCCCCCACACAGGGTCTGAGGTGGTGGCTGAGTATATCCATGGCCCTACTTCCAGGTCTGTCCAATGGGAAGTGGACCAAGGGCTGCATGGGATGGGATGGCCACTGCTCAGAACACTCCCGCTTCCTGGCAGAGGGCATGTCCAGCTGATGGGGGTTCTAGGTCTGAGGATGCGCGCGGTTAGACAGAGGGAGTGGGAAGGGCTGGGCTGGAAAGGGCGCCCTGCTACATGAGACAAAGGGAGGGAAGCAGAGGGGACAGGCAGAGCAGGAGCCTCGGAGAAGGCACATTCGCAGCCAGCTCCCCAAGAGGCCATCGGGAACATATTTCGCCTCCCACACAGCAGGCATTCCCGGCAGCCTCTCCCTGGCCCTCTGGGGGGGGTTTGGACGTGGGTGGGGGTGGGTGTGTCTCACCAAGGCCTGGTCACGCCCAGTGGCCAGAGCTTTGGGGGATGTGGACAAGGCACAGAACGAGGGCCTGGGTTGTTGCAGGCCAGAACTTGTCCCTCTCTGACCCTTGCGTGGGCTGGGGGTGCTGGAGGCATCTAGTGAAGTGGGAGAGAGCAGGCGAAGGGAAGCCAGACAGGGCTGGAGGCTACCCAGGCCGGGTGGCCGGCTCCCTGTGGCCAGATGGGGTCCCGGTGGGATGCATGCCAGGCCACACGGGTGGGAGCTGCATTCATTCATCCCAGATGCGATCTGTCATCCACTCCTGCCACCCTGAGCAGCCAGCACCTGGCCAAAGACCTTGTCCCTTCATCCAGCCCCAGGGCAGCTTTCAGGCGTGCTAGGGGCCTCCCCAGGCCCCCCTTTTTGTTCCCTATTCTTATTTTCTTAGAGGAAGGAGTGACTGCTTCAGGGCCTCTCCCAGAATCCCAGTCTCCCTCGATTACTGTTTAAAACGCTATCCCACACTGGAGCCAGAGCAGCGGTTTGAATTTTAACTTCAATCTCTCTTAATGATACTTCCCAGGAGCGGGAGGAAAAGAAAAAGGTCTCCGGTGCCAAAGAAAATAGCTAAGTCTTGAAGGATCTAGAAGGGCATGAGAAGTTTAATCCGGGTGTCCCTGCTGTGCCTGGTCCCCCACCCCGGAATGCCTCCAGACCCTCCGAGCGTCTCAACCCCACCTGCAGAATCAACCCCTCCCACGGCTCTGCAAACAAGCAAAAAACAAACTCAAACCCTTGCCGTTGAGTCGATTCCAACCCATGGCAACCCCACGTGTTACAAAGTAGAACTGTTCCGTGGGGTTTTCTTGGCTGTCATCTTTACAGAAGCAGATTGCCAGGTCTTTTTTCCGTGGCACTGCCAGGTGGGTTCAACTTACCAATGTTTAGGTTAGTAACCAAGAGCAATCCATTTGTGCCACCCAGGGACCTCCTCTAGCAACAAGAGGGCTCTTTAAAAAGGAACAGCATGGCTGGTAAAGTAGAGCATCAGCAAGAACAAGGGAGACCCGCCATAACATGGACCGGCCCAACAGTCAAAGCACTGGCCTCAGACATACACTCAGCTCTGCTCAGACCACTCCGTGCTGGCCCCTTGGAGACCTCAAATGTAGGCGTCAGGAAGTTTGGCTTCTGCCTTGTACAAGGTGGGGCTTGGTTTCCATGGCTGCTGAGCCCCTGCCAGACTTCTCTGCCAAGGGACCACTCCTCTTGGATGAGGAGGCTCAGCTCACATCAACAACCATCCTGGAACTGGATTGCATCCTGGGATCACCTTCTGTATCCTGGGTGCCTCCTCGGAAGCCACACTCTGCCCACCATATACTCTCAACTCTGCCCCCACAGCGTCCTGCCTACGTCCACGCTGAGCCCCAAGAGGAATCCTGAAGCACTCTTCTGGGTGCCACGAGGGTTTCTAGCCCCATCGGACCCCAGTCCTGCCCATGGTGGGGGTGAAGGCAAAGCAGCCTGCTAGGGCAGCAAGTGGGGAACACTTCTCCCAGCTTGCTCCCGGTACTCCAGGGCACCTCTGGTCTCTACGCTGGTGGTCCATGAGACCTCTGGCCATGTCACAGCCCCCATCTCTCAACACCGGACAAGGGAGCCCTAAGACGAGGACACACCTCTTGCACTGGGCTTCAGGGACAAGCCCTTCCACAATGCTGGGCACCTTCCCAAAGCCATTCTCCTTCTTTCCTTAGTAAATACAGACTGCTCTCTCCCACTTCACTAGATGCCTCCAGCACCCCCAGCCCACGCAAGGAAATCTCAGCCTTCCTTGGAGCTGAGTGTGGCCATTAAACTAAGTTCTGGCCATGCAACATGTCAGCGGAATTATGTGTGACACTCCCAAGGAGGCTGCTTAAAGGGAACTGGCTCAAATGGGAAATAAGCCCCCTTTGCTCTGTCCCTTCCTCCTCCTTTCTGTTGCCTGGAATGCAGGTGTGATGGCTGGAGCTGAAGCAGCTGTGTTGGACCTTGACACCTGGAGGATGGAAGTCACATGATAGGATGGTGGAGCAGGAAGAGAGAAGGCGCCTGGGTCCCTGGCATCCATCAGAAGAGCCCAGGATCGCCTACCTCTGAACTTATTTTGTTTGAAAGAGAAATAAATCCCCACCTCATTTGAGTTACGGAGCCCTGGTGGTACAATGGTTAAGTGCTTGTCTGCTAATCAAAAAATGTCCATCAGCAGATGAAGGGATAAACAAATTGTGTAATACCATTCAGCCATGGGAAAAAAAAATGAAGTAGTGACACATCTACAACGTGGCCGACCCTCTAAGGCATTATGCTGAGTGAAGTAAGCCAGGCACAAAAGGCCATATAGAGACAGAAAATAGAGAGCGGTTGCCAGGAGCTGGGGGCGGGGGGGGGGGGGCAATGGGAAGTGCTTGCTAATGAGTTACCAAAAATAAATAAATAAATAAAACCCACACAGCTGCAAACCTGTTGCTGTCAAGTCTGTTCCAACTCACAGCAACCTGGTAGGACAGATTAGAATTGTCCCATAGGGTGCCCAGGGCTGTAATCTTTACGGAAGCAAACTGCCGAGTCTTTCTCACATGGGGCTGCTGGGTGGGTTAGAACCACCAACCAACCATTAGGTTGTCAGGCAAGCGCTTTAAACACTGTGCCACCAGGCTCCTCCTGCTCACTAGTGCAAGGTTTCTTTTTGGCATGATAAAAATGTTTTCAAAAGAGATAATGGTGATGTTTTCATAATGCCGTGAATATACTAAAAGATGTTGACTTGTACGCTTTTGAAAGTATGAACTTTATAAAGCTGTTGAAAAACACAGAGAGGAAGAAAGGGCTCCACGCAAAGGGCCGATCTGATTCCAGCCGAACACCGCCTTGGTGGTAGAACAGGAGCCCTGGGCACTCGCCGTGCCGGCCCCGGCCGGCTTCTCCGGGTCACTGAACTGCTGTGTTTCCATTTCCCTCACAGGCAGGAACGGCCCCACTGCAACAGCAGATGGGCTCCCATTCACTGAGAGCCTGCCACGTGCCAGGCATGGCTTCCTCAGCATCCAGGTGCTATCAGCCGAGGCCTCACTATCACCTTCTGGCTGTTAGGCCATTTCACAGCTAAGGAAACAAAGGTCCAGAGCAGTCTGGCTACTTGCCGACACTTCACAGCCCCAGGCACTGACCCTGGTGCACTCCACCCCCAGGTCTGGAGGCCACTTCCCGGTCCAGGCCTCTCCCATTGCCTGTTGAGCACCACCCAGTGGCAACAGCCATTTAGAAGGTCTTCTTCCTCAGAGATTGTTTCTATTCACATGTGGATCTATGGATCCGGTTCTTTTTTAGTACTCATCCACTTCCAGGTATGTAATTTATGGAATTCCTTATTTTCAAAGTTTCAAAATCCTCAGTATTTTGAGGCTACCTTTGACCTTTTATAAAATGTGCTGCCTGATATGTTCCTAGGAGACCGTGGATACTGCAAACGGTTGAGTGCTCAGCTGCTAGCTAAAGGTGGGGGGGGTTCGAGTCCACACAGAGGTGCCTCGGAAGAAAAGCCTGGTGATCTTTTTCTGAAAACGCAGCCATTGACAACCCTACGGAGCCCAGCTCTACTCTGACCCACATGGGGTCCTCCGGAGTCAGAATCTGGTGCAGGCACCAGCAAACGCTTTCTGACTGACAGCACTGCCAAACACTTTGCAATGCGCAACGGTATCACCAGACTTTTCTCCTAGAGTAACACAAGAGCAGAAGACCGGCCCCTTTCCTGGGCACGTACCTCAGTCCTGCGGATCTCCGTATCACCAGATAGGCGTCGACTGCGTAGCAAAACAGCCACCAGAAGCAGGCGCTGTACAACAGCTGGATCCACATCTGCAACCGGGAAGAGCCTGGCATCAAAGCTTCCGCAAACAGGCACCGGATTCCCCACCCATCCGTGAAACCAGCTCGCTGAGCCGGGCTCCCCGTGATGTCAGAGGGCAGCACAGGAGGGCACGGGGACATGTGTGCATGCGGTCTTTGAAAGCGAAGGATGGCAGCGAGCCTGCGGCATGTGCGTGTACGTGTGTGCACACTCTTGCCCTGTCTGCTCCGCCGGACTAAGACCCTCTCCCCGTCCTACACTCTTGCGCGGGTTAGAAACCGCGCGAAGACGCCCAGCGTAAACTGCCCAGAGGGCTCCCGGCTCTTTGAAGGGGCAGCTCTTTTGCTCAGAACTAACGAGTGTGGACAGGAAAGATCAAGGGGCGGCGAAGGAAAGGCTCCGTGCTCCAGCGGCAGCACGAGATCATAGCCTGCCATTGTGGGCTGAGGCAGATGTTTCCTCCCGAGGCGATTAGAAAGCCCAAAGCCGAGGAGCAGAGGGGGCGGGAGAAGACCCGCGGTCTGCACAGGGCACTTTCTGATGGTTCCTGTGAGCGCTAGCTCGCTGGCCGCAGCACTGCGTGCATTTCATTAAGCCAAACACAGCCATACAACAATAGCTTTCCGTTTTTTGTTCTTTTTTGGGGGGGGAGGAGCTCTGGTGGCGTAGTGCCTAAGGCATTTGACTGAACCACCAGCCACTCCTCAGAAGGAAGACTGGGTAATCTCCTTCAGTAGAGATGCCCCCTCAAAAACCCAAGGAGAGGTCACTATGAGTCGAATAGATGGCAGTGAGTGAGTCCAGTTTTTTGGCCCAGCTGGTTTTGACTGTGACTCTACTTAAGGACGTATGTGTATGTGGGGACAGGGGAAAGATAACAGGAACAACAACAACAAAAAAAAAACAAAAGCAATTGCCACCCAGTGTGCTCTGACTTGGAAACCGTTATGGGGCACTTCTACTCTGTCCTGTAGAGTCACTATGAGTCAGAACTGATTCCACCGCAGTGAGGCTAATCTTTACAGGAGCAGACGGCCTCTTTCTTCCGTGGAGCCTCGGTTCAAACTGCTGACATTTCAGTTAGCAGTTGAGCATTTAACCACTGCACTACCACTGCTCCTCAAACTTGAGCGTTCATGGAAGGCCCTGGAGGGCTTGTTAAAACACAGATGGACGATCCTAGCCCATAGTTTCTGGTCAGGAGGTCTGGGTTGGGGCCTGAGAATCGGCATCTCAAACAAGCTCCCAAGGGATGCTGAGGCTACCGTCCACGGGTGACTCAGCTCTACAAGTCTGGGGACCCAGCTTGTGGACCTCAGCAGGACGGGGGCATAGGCAGGGAGGAGAGGTGAACAAGGGAGGCACGTACCGCACTCCCCACGCAGAAAGCAGCAGGCCAGACGTCTGTTCCGTTCACTCCTGAGATGTTTTCAACAAAATCTGGGAATCCTAACCACACTGCAGACCGGACCACAATACCTGAGGGTGAATTAAATGAGACCTTGTGTCTGACTCTAGTGAGCTGTGTTAGGGGATGAGCTAAGTCCCCCCAAAATAGGTGCTCTGAATCCTAACCCCTATGCCTGTGGTTATAATCCCACTGTCTCTGGTACTTTGGTCATGTCATCAGAAAGCGCCAGTCTCTGGAGAAGGACATCGTGCTTGGTAGAGGGTCAGCGAAAAGGGGGAAGACCCTCAATGAGATGCATGGATACGGTGGGGGCAACGATGGGCTCTAGCAAAGCAAGGGGTATCAGGGTGGTCCCCAGCCAGGCAGTGTTTTATTCTGTTGTACATAGTCACCATAAGTCAGAACCAACTTGACAGCACCTAACAACAACACAACCTACCTGTGGTTACAATCGCACTTGTGAATAGGTTTTCTTGGTTATGCTCATGAGACCGGATCAGTTTAGGGTGTATCTTAAGTAAATCTCTTTGGACATATAAAAAGAACAGTCTAGGCAAGGACACAGGCAGACAAGCGGAGATGGAGGAAGACAGATGACACGCCACACGGAGATCACCAAGGAGCCAGGACAAGGACCTTCCCGCAAAGCCAAGAGACGGTGAGCCTGCCCCTAGAGCCAGCCCCTGATTTCCAACTTCGAGCCTCCTAAACTATGAGAAAATAAATTTCTGTTCATTAAAGCCACCCAAAGGAGCTCTGGGAGCACCGTGGTAAAGCGTTTGGCTGCTCTCACCTGCGGTCAAGTCAATTCTGACTCAATAGCGACTCTATAGGTGCGGAGCAGTGAATTACCAGGCATGGCTTTTCTAGCCATAGTCTTAGTAACTCCCACTGGATTACTGGGTGGGACCATGCAAATAAAATGTGTGGGACTCTGATGTTGGGATTGGTTCATTTTGTCACTCTACCAGGCTTTAAATGAGCCCTCCTAGAGGCACTCCTCTGAAGGAAGGTTGGGCAATCCTACTTCCGCAGTGATACTGCCTCGGAAACCCAAGGAGGGGTCGCTATGAGTCTGGGCTGACTCGACGGCAAATAACAACAACAACAACAGAGGCAGAGAGGGGATCTCACTGCCATCAAGAGAGAAGAGCTGGAGGTGAAGTAGAGTGTGTCCTTGGACCCAAGATCCCTGCGCTGAACCTCCTTGGCAGAGACACCCAGGCCAGAGAGAGACACCCTGGTAGAGGGACGGTCACAGTGGAACCAAGAGGCACAAGACAGAGCGGTGGGCTTCCCTGGCCCAGAGAGCAAGATAACTGAGTGCCCTTGGGCAAGAGGCTTGCTGGCAGAGTGGGGTACACATAGGTGCACCTATCAGCAGAGCTAAAAGAGCTTTGTAACACTTGCCTGAGCAGGGCAGATGCCAGGCCGAGAGGCCAAGGGCCAGCGAGGAGTGTCTAGGGGCACAGCAGAGGGGATATTGTCCTGATGGAAGAGTTGTATCATGAGTGTGTTCCTGAACCTGAATTGTACCCTGTTAGTTCCCCCAATAAACCCCATCATTGTGAGTATTGTCTATGAGTTCTGTGTGGCCATTGCAACGAATTATCGAATCCAGCGGAGAAGAAGTGAGTGCTGTGGGAAGGACAGTCGGTGTCAGAATTGGTTAAAGGTTGGAGGGTGGCAGCATGTTTGGCTTCATAGTAATAAGCCTTGGGCTGTTGATAGTGACTCTGTTTCCCCCTCGTGAGAGTAGAGGAGGTCAGAAGATGCCACTTTCCTGTCCTTTTTGCAATAGGACAGAGTAGAACTGCCCCCATGGGGTTTCCAAGGCTGCAAATCTTTACAGTATCAGATTTCCACAGTATTCTCTGGCAGAGTGGCTGGTGAAATCGAACTGCCCACCTTTCAGTTAGCAGCCAAGGGCTTTAACCACTATGCCACCAGGGCTCCTTTGCTTGGTAAGCAATCAGTTGCAGTGTCAGGGGTTTGAACCTATGAACTGCTGTTCGGCAGGAAGATGTGGCAGTCTAGAGGGACTTGTTGCTATGTAAAAATAGATGGTAGTCAGAAGATAGCTAGATAGGGAGGGGAGAAGGAGGGAGGGAGAAATGGTATAAACACACATGGTACCTACAGAGAGCACAAGAAGGTATGGGATTATTCAGAAAACAACTATTATGGTGGCAAAGCAATTCCAGGCACTTTGATTTCAACAGTAAACCACTGTTAGCCACAAGCCCATCCCTAATTTGTTTGTTTACTTGGCATTAAGAAGCGTGAGTAACAATTTGCATTTCTAAGCTGTGTTTTCATTTCCAGGTTAATTACTCCTCACACAAAAAAAAGATTCTAAAGGCACAGTTCCGGAGTAAATACAATTCCTTCAGAAGGCTGGTGACCGGCCACTCCTCAGAAGGAAGGTTGGGCAATCTACTTCCATAGTGATACCACCTCAGAAACCCAAAGAGGGGTCGCTATGAGTCAGATCCGACCCAACGGCAGTGGGTTGGGTCAGTCTATAAGAAAATACACTTAAAAATGTCACCAATCTCTCCATAATTCATTTCTGTCATATATTATTTGTGGATTTTCCCTGTTATTAGACCCAAAGATCAAAGTCTCCTCGAAACAGTACCCACCCTCATGGTATGTAGTCTGTTCTTTTGTTGGAGAATGCAATCGTTATTGTTGTTAGCTGCCCTCAAGTCGGGCCTGGCTCACCACCACCGGTACACAACTGAACGGGACTCTGCCGGTCTTACACCATCCCCATGATTGGCTGTGTGTCAGGCAGCGTTCAGGTGTGATGGACACTGTGCTACCAAAGAACTGTCAACACTGAAAAGCTTAAGACACATCTCCTTGTGCCCAAGCCCTGGAATGAGCAGAATGCCTTTCTTCCCCACGGGGCTTATGATTTGAGTGCATAGCGTTCCCTTGAGCTCAGTGAAGGCCCTGGGAGGTAGGTGGTGGTTCCTGTCTAGCTGGGTCCACTAGACTCCCACTCATGGGGCCCCAAGTGAGTCAGAGAGTTGTACTATTCCAGAGACTGTTAAGGCTGTGACCCTTTGGAAGCTGAGCCCCAGGCCTGTCTTCAGAGGAGCCTCTGGGTGGGTTCAGACCGTCAACCACTTGGTTAGCAGCGAGTACTTAACCGTCTGCGCCACCTCGGACTCCTATGAGGGAGGTAAGCTGTCCTATTTCCTAGTTCCCAGGGGATCCCACTCCTCGGGCAAGTGCCCTAACCCAACCACCCAGCGGGTCCCAACCAGCGGGCCGCGCGCCCTTACCCAGGCAGCCGAGCAGGTCGCAGGCGATGGTAGCGCGCAGGATGCGGACCGAGACTGGCGGGGCAGAGCCCGGGACGGCCGCGGAGACCGCGGGGCGCGCAGGCCGGCGCGGGGGCAGCAGCTGCAGGAGACCGAGCCCCAGGCGGAGCGCGCCGCTGCCCAGGCAGAGCGCGTGGAAGGCCCGGGGCTGGAAGCGCAGCACGAGCTGGGTGGCCGCGTCCCGCGTGGGACAGCAGAATGTGGCTAGGCGCGGGGAGGCCATGGTCCGTTGGGGGACGCGGCCTGCGGCTCGGGTCTGCCGGGACCTCGCCGGGCGGCCCCGGTCATGTGCTGGCCTGCGGGGCATGCATCATGTGCCCGCCGACTCTGCGCGCGCTTGGGCCGCGTGGCCCCCCGGCCTCTCCGCCCGCCCCCAAGTTTCAGAAAGGGCGCCTGGGCCAGAGCGGGGGGTGGGGGGAGATGCTGCTCCATCCGGGGAGGAGGAGGAGGTGAGGGGCGGCGTGGGAGAATGAGTGGCCACGGCAGGCCAGCTTTCGCATCGTGCACTACGCCTGTCTTTGTGGTTTCATTCCTGAAGATCTGTGGCCATCTCGTTTTAACTGGTCTTTCTAGCAGAACATGTCAGAGGTGCCAGGTCTTTCCTATTTTGGGAGCGAACATCTCTAACTTCGTTGCCTTTTTGGCATCAGAGCACGGTCCCTAAACTGACTATGTCTAGGGACCCAGCAGTCCTACACTGTTGCCTGTTGTTAAAATGCTGGTGTTGCTGTTTGGTGCCCTGGAGTAGAGTCTGACTCATAGCGAGCGACCTTTTGTGACAGAGAAGAACCGCTCCAGAGGGTTTCTTAGGTGTAATCTTAATAATAATAACAAATATATTGTGATTTGGGTGAAAAGTTTACAGACCAAATTTATTTTCCATGCAGTACTTCATACACATTTTGTTTCATGACATTGACTGCAATTCCCCACAATGTAATAGCTCTCTTCCCACTTCCTCCCCATAGTTACCTCTTCCCTGTGCACTCCTTTCCTATGCACTCTTGCACACCTCACCCCCACCCACTATCTCACTGTGCAAACACTGCCCTACTGTTCTCCCACGATTGATTGATCACTATAAGGAGTGTATCTACCTGATGTAAATGTTTACCCTATATGCCTGTCTGTTGTTTGGCTGGAAGCCACTGGAGTGAGTTCAGTTCCAGACCTGAAGGGTAACTAGGGGCATAGTCTCAGGGGTTCCACCAGGCTCTCAGACTAATAAACTTGGTCTTTTTATTTTTTTAATGGGTTTGCGTTTTGTTCCACATTGTTCTCTCACTCTATCCAGGATCTCCTGCACCGATCTCCCTCTGAGTGGTTGACAGTGGTAGCTGGGCACCATCTGGTTCTTCTGGTCTCATGGTCATTCAGGCTGAAGATCACATGGTCTACTAGTCCCTTGGACTAATTGTTTGCATGTATCTTTGGTTTTTTTCATTCTTCTTTGCTCTGGACTAAAAGAGACCCATTGTTGCATCTTAGATGGTCGCTGGCAAGCTTTTAAGACCCCAGTTGTTACTCACCAAAGTAGGATGTAGAACAATGTTTTTGTGTAGTATGTTATACCAATTGAGCTCATTGTCCCCTGTGACCATGGTCCCAAGCCCACAGGTCCAGCTACTCACTCCTTCAGGGTTGTTGGCTGTGGCTAGGCTGTAATCTTCGAGAGAACAGATGGCCCGGTCTTTCTCCTACAGAGCTGCTGGGTGGGTTCTAAGCGCTAATATTTTCATTAGCAGTGAAGTGTTTAACCATCATGCCACCAAGGCTCTTTGTTAAAATACTGTACTTTTTTTATGGCCTCCCACCCCCCATGGAACAATCACCCTATGGTAGAATGAAAATCCTATGGATCACAATTGTTGGATCTGCAAGGGACCATGGGGATGGTGCATTTCCTTCCGTTGTTCATGGGGTCGCCAGTTCAACCTACCTGACCCCAGCTAACGACAACAGGATTTTCTTTTTAAGTTAATGAGTGAATCATTGAAATAAATCTTAAAGAAATGGAGAATCACTTCGCATAACTACACACATACAGAGAGACATACATTTTGCGTTGTTTCATTTTTATTGAGCTGTAGTAATATAAACCAAAAAAAAAAAAAAAAAAACCAACTCACTGCCATGGAGTTGATTCCAACTCATAGCGACCCCCACCGGGTTTCCAAGGCTGTAAATCTTTACGGAAGTAGATCGCCCCATCTTCCTTCCTTGGAGTAGCTGGTGGGTTTGAACCACTGACTTTCTGGGTAGTGATATATAGCATTACATTTTTGACATTCTAAATTAGCTTTCAAGAGGAATTCTGTTTAGGCCTATGAGGTGAACAATTAGCACCAGGTGGGTACACTCCTTAGCACAATCAACCACGGGAGAGCAGAAGGGCAGCACTTGCACAAGGAGAAAGCTCAGAGGGCAAGAATGCTTAGGAAAGGACATAGGGAAAAGGCAACCAAACACAGGGAAGAAGGGGAAAGAGAGCCATTACTTTATGGGGATTGCAATCAGTGTCACGAAATAAAATGTGTATGAACTGTTGAATGGAAAACTAATGTGTTCTGTCAACTTCCACCCAAAGCACAATAAAAAAAAAAAAAAGAATAAGA